ATACAAGGAGACCGGACCCTCTCTCCTTTTCTCTCTCCCCTTTGGGTCCCGTTTGCCCCCCTCCCTCAGCCTGCAGCTCCCATGTTGCCCTCTTCCTGTCTCTTTCTTTTTGGTCTCCCCTCCCCTCTCTCCATCCCAACTCCCATCTCCTACCATCCCTCCTTACTTCTTCCCTTCCTCCATCACCCCATCCTGTCTCCTCTGCCTTTGCCAACACCTCCTTCTCTCCTCTCCCCACGATGTCTTTCTTTGCTCTCCCCCTGCCATCCTCTCCCCTCTCCCCATTTCCCCTATCTCTCTCCACATCCCCCTACCTCACTCTCCCAATAAAGGGGGAGGTAAGGAAGCGTGAGGTCCCAGACTGGGACGGGGGCATGGCCTCTGAAGGTCCCCCACCTCACGCAGGTCCTTCGGAACATGGTGCACTGTGCAGACCTCAGCAACCCCACCAAGCCACTTGAGTTGTACCGCCAGTGGACCGACCGCATTATGGCCGAGTTCTTCCAGCAGGGGGACCGTGAACGTGAGCGGGGCATGGAGATCAGCCCCATGTGCGACAAGCACACAGCCTCGGTGGAGAAGTCTCAGGTACGGTGTTAAGCGGGCCTCCCCACCCCATGCTGGCCTGGAGCTCCGAGACCCAGAAGTTCCCGACCTGCCCCTCCACAAAGTCAAGTTTTTCTGTGTGTGTGTGTGTGTGTGTGTGTGTGTGTTTCTTTCCTTTTCTGCCTTGATGGGAAATTTGTAACATTTTCCCTTCTACAGAATAACCAAAACCAGGCCTCTGGATTCAAAACTTGTAGACCTGAGTGGAACAGTTCTCTCTCATTTAGCATCCATAATAATACTTGCCCAGCTCTTGGTTACAGACCTTATGTCGCTCCAGCCTCTCGGTATCCCTGTAACCTGGCTGCTGATTTTGTCCTTGATTTTTGGTGGGATTTTGCAATGAGATGCGATGACGCATCATCGTGTGCTTGTTTAACTTGACAAGAGGTACGGAAACCCAGTCTTGTTTGTAAAGTGTGGATGTGAAAGTTTCTCACCCTCCCCACTCCCAGTCTCCTCCCTGGCAAGACCTGTTCTTCCCGGCTCACTGTGCACGCCTTTCCAGACCTGAGTTACCCAGCCTTGGTGCTGTTGACATTTGGGCCCGGGTCGTTCTCTGTCGCGGGGGCCATGCCTTGTAGGATTTTGAGCAGCATCCTTGGCCTCCACCCCTTCCCTTCCAATTACAACAACCAAAAATGTCTCTAGATACTTCTAAATGTCCCTTTGAGCATGCAGATCACCCCATCCTCCAACGCCCGGGAAAACCAGTTCCATAGGCTTTATTACATAGTTACATTTACGGGCAACTTCATAGTAATAGTTCAGGGGTTTTGCTTTGTTAAAAAAATATGAATTTTATCAATATGTACCCATTTTTATACAGCTTGCCTTTTCTTCCAAACAATGACTTGGAGATGTGTCTGTGTTACTGCGTATAGATTTAGCTCATCCCTTTTGACGACTCTGTAGTATTCTCACAGATCTAGACAGCAGATGGGCCATTTAGGTGTTGAGGAGTTACAAATTCACAGTGACTCAAACGAGATAAGGCTTCATTTTTGTTCTCTCTCTCTTTTTTTTTTAGAGAGAGAGAGGGTACAAGTGAGTGAGGGGCAGAGAAGAGAGAGAGAATCCCATGAGGGGCAGAGAGAGAGAGAAGGAGGGAGAGAGAGAGAGAGAAGCAGGGCTCACCTGGGGCTCCTGTTTTTGCCCAAAGCGGGGCTCCTGCTTGCCCAATGTGGGACTCAAACTCACTAACTGTGAAGTCATGACCTGAGCTGGATTCAAATGCTTAATGACTGAGCCACCCAGACACCCCATTTTTATTCTCTCGCATGTAAGAAAAGTCCAGAGGCACCTGGGTGGTTCAGTCGGTTAAGCGTCCATCTTTGGCTCAGGTCATGACGTCATAGTTCACGGGTTCGAGCCCCACGTCGGACTCTCTGCTGCCAGCCAAGAGCCTGCTTCAGATCCTCTGTCCCCCTCGCTCTCTGCCCCTCCCCCACCCCTCTCAAAAATAAACATTTAAAAAAATTTTTTAATTAAAAAAAAAAGTCGAGAGAAAGAATTTAGCTCCCTTTGGCTCCATGAAATAGTCAGGCATCTAAGGAGATTTCAGTGTTTCTCTTCTATCATCCGAAGCATGGGACCTTTGTCCCTAGAGATGCCTCTCATGGTCACGGATGCTGTTGAAACTCTAGCCATTCTGGCCACATCGTAAGGAGGAAAGGTCTCTGCCAGCTGAAGCAGCACTCCTACCCCCTATGCCCATCCCAACCCAGATCTTCCATCTACATGTGGTCACATTGCCACCCTCTCTTTGCAAAGGAGGCTGGGAAATGTAGTTTTCACCTATATTGGGGAAGTATTGCCTCCACCAAGAAAAATCAAGATTTTATTCTTCTTCTTCTTTTTTTTTTTTTTAATGTTTTTATTTATTTTTGAGACAGAGACAGAGCATGAGCAGGGGAGGGGCAGAGAGAGAGGGAGACACAGAATCTGAAGCAGGCTCCAGGCTCCGAGCTGTCAGCACAGAGCCTGATGCTGGGCTCAAATTCACGGAGTGTGAGATCATGACCTGAGCTGAAGTTGGACGCTCAACCGACTGAACCACCCAGGCGCCCTCAAGATTTTGTTCATAAGAAAGAGGGAAGATAGTATCAGCATTAGCCAATACTCTGCCGTGGAATTATTTCTAGTTTTTCTTTGTTGCAAAAAATATCACTATTAGTATCTGTGGTGTACCACAATGTTTTAAAACGTTTTATTTCAATGTTTTAAGTTTATTTATTTCGAGAGAGAGGGAGAGAGAAAGAAAGAGAGAGAGAGCATGAGCAGGGGACAGGCAGAGAGAGAGGAAGAGAGAAAGAGAATCCCAAGCAGGCTCTGCACTGTCAGCACAGAGCCTGACGCAGGGCTTGAACTCACAATCCTTACGATCGTGGCCTAGCCAAAACCAAGAGTTGG